TTTGGTGGAGTAATAGCAAGTACGTCAAGTATTTACTCTCTCAACGCCAAGTAGTGTATGTATGCGGAAAAAGAGTAACAATGTGTTGGGAGTAGAGTACAATGCAAGGAGTACTTATTGAACGAAATGCGGCAAATACACTTGCGCTGGACTTTAATACAAGTACTTTTATTTCGATACTAAGTAGGTATCGATGAAACGATTCAAGTAAAAAAAGTAGTTGGTATTGAAACAAAAGTATCGAGTACATACTCGTATTTACTTATGTCGGAACATCCCTAATTGTCCTACGCCCGCCATTTTTACAGGCTTTTTTGATACTACGGTGTTGGACGCCCTAAACAAACTTTACACTACAGAAGTATTTTAGAAATTAGGGCGTAATTTTCCACTGGAAGATAGTCTAAGATGTCGCAGTTTAACTTTTTGAATGAAATAAACAGCGCTTTAACGATGGATGGAGAAATAACGCGAGGTCCTGCACCGCGGTGGCAAAAAAAATTGGAAGCGTCTGCATTGGCGAACAGTCTTAACGGAAGTATAAATGCGTCCCGTTCGGTGCTATCTATGTCATACAACACCAGTTTTTCTGGAGTAAATCCACCAACAAAGACGCCTCGAAAAGTTGGAGGCGAGGCAAAGAACAAGAAAACGCCAACACCTAACAAAGGCGCAAAGACTCCAAGTGGAGGCGACCGCTTCATCCCTAATCGCGGAACCAGCAATTTCGAGCTTGGCCATTATTTGGTGGGTATAAATGTTATTGTGTACATATAAAACATATAGCACATTCCTCAAAATTTAGATTAAACAGGAGCAAGAAAAATCGGAAAATGATGGCAATGACAATAGCAACAATGCTAGCAAAAAGACACCATCAAAAATTGCACGACAGAAATTGATTTCTGAGACTCTACAAGTTGGTGATACAAAGACGACGCGCATTTTATGCTATCAAAACAAAGCACCCGCTGCACCAGAATCTCATCAAAATCCGTTAAAAGTTGTTTACTCAATTAACACGCCTATATCTACTAAGAGTGGCTCTCGTTATATTCCCACCACTTCGGATCGAATACTTGATGCCCCTGACATAATTAACGATTACTACTTGAATCTATTAGATTGGAGTGCTGATAATATTGTTACAGTGGCTTTGGGAAATGCAGTTTATTTATGGAATGCAGCAACAGGCAATATAGAACAGCTGGTGGAGTATGAGGGATCTGATCATGCGTGTTCTCTCTCATGGATACAGGAGGGACAAATTTTAGCCATTGGAAATAATACTGGTGCTGTGGAATTATGGGACTGTTCGAAGATTAAACGTCTGCGTGTAATGGATGGGCATTCGGCACGTGTTGGCTCTTTGGCATGGAACTCATTTTTAGTAACATCAGGCAGTCGCGATGGGTCTATCATACACCATGACGTACGTGCCCGGGAACACAAAGTAGCCACACTAAACGGTCACACACAAGAGGTGTGCGGACTTAAATGGTCTACAGATTTTAAACACCTTGCTAGTGGAGGTAATGACAACTTAGTTAACGTATGGGCGGCGGTAAGCGGGGGTACTGGCAGTGGTACAGAACCGTTACACGTACTAAACGAACATCAAGCGGCGGTAAGAGCGTTAGCATGGTGCCCTTGGCAGCCAAATCTTTTAGCTAGCGGCGGTGGGACTGCAGATCGTTGCATTAAATTTTGGAATGTCAACAATGGCTCATTAATTAACTCAGTTGATACAAAATCGCAAGTTTGTGGCCTTTTATGGTCGCGTAACTACAAAGAACTGATTTCTGCTCATGGTTTTGCACACAATCAGTTAACGATATGGAAGTATCCTTCAATGGTAAAACAGGCTGAGTTAACTGGGCATACTTCGCGTGTACTGCAAATGGCAATGTCGCCTGATGGCAGCACGGTAATAAGCGCTGGTGCAGATGAAACTCTTCGCTTATGGCTTTGTTTTGTGCCAGACCCGCACACTGCAAAAAAAACAGCACCAAGCAAGGCTAAGCAGAGCGCCTTCCGACAGAGCATACGATAAACTCGAGCAAGTTAAATACTACAAGTACTACAAGCATACATAAATTCTCATATGATATTTCCGATACACATGATTCATTTGAAGATGGAAAAATTCATGTCTGCATATTTTAATAGTATTGTAATTATAATTAATTAATTAAAAGTAATTAAATTAAAATTTGAGTAGAGACATTTTTATGTTTTCATTGTAATATGCAAAAAAGCACTATCATTTTGTAATTTTTATCATCATTAACATTGTATTTTCATTTGGTTTGCGTTTAGTATTTTTTATACATTTGCAATTAGTACAGAGAGTTTAATGCATTCGCTATCTCAGGAATGTTATGAATCAGTACTAGTACCTCAATTTGTATAATAATAAATTTGTATTTTTATATGTATTTTTTATGTAATACGCCGAGTACTTCAAGATTTCTTAAATAAACTTAAACCAAACTTATTATTATTATTATTTATTTATTTATAAGTTATAACAAAAATAAATAAATAAGGCTAAGGCACGGTTTATATTAGAGCGATACGATATGCAATACGATACGAAAGCGACATCGACATCGACATGCTGGGTACATGGGAATTGGTAGGAAGCGGTGAAAACTGCACACTTGCACGACAGGGACACTGCTGCGACATAATCAGCCCTATTACCAATTCCATGTGAATAAATCGTTCCCATAATTTAACAGGCAAAAGAAGAAAAATTGGGAAAAATTTGTTTTTGTTTTGCTATATAATTTTTGGGAATATTTGTATCGCGTATCGTATCGCTGTAATGTGCACCCTGCCTTAGAGTCATTTATAGCCATTTTTTATTTAATAAGTCAATTGAGCTAAGGCGATGAACACTTGCACTGAAAACATCTGGATCGATTCGCAGATTAATCATCTTTATATTAAAATTCGGAAACTATTTGTAACCTTCGATGACGATAATCGCAACAAGTCCAGTTGATAGCCAATAGTATTAAGGGTGCTAGCGACGCAAGTGAAAATACCATATGAAACGTTACGAAATAGTCTGCACAATCTGCTCACTTCTAAAAAAATTCTATAAATTTGCAAAGATTAAGAACGCTGTTACTGCCTGATTATACAGTATGAATGCCTTTTCCCACTATCAACTCCCTTGAAATAAAACACATTTTCTTCAATACATTTTTCTAAAATTCTTATATGTATATTAAATGTTTAATATTTCCTTGCTTAGTTTTCTTGTTTTCCGTTTATTTCATGTTTGCAAACTTATAATTTGTTGATAACTATATGCATGTATTTCTAATACGCAAGTATATGGGCAAATCTAAAAAACAGGTAACCTTTGTGTTATTTAGCTTTATTTTCACTGTTGTAAACTAAATCAAGCTGGTTGCTTTTGCATATAATTCATTGACGCATACTTGAAGCCTCAAATAAAATTTGGATCAATTTGCTGCATAACTTTTGAAATATCGGTGTTTAAATAAAAAAAAAAATAAATAATGAAAACAAGTGAATTTTTTATGTAATTTTTAAGAGAGGCACAATTAATTATGTCATAACTTTTGAAGCACACCATATTCTGATTTGAAATTAAATGGGCATTTAGCACTTATGTGTACACTTCATATTTAGTAGGTAAGAAAAGTGTGCATTAAAAAATAACAAAATGGCAAGTAACTCAAAGTCTGTAGCTCCACATTTCACAATTTTCAAAATTTTCGGTTTATTGCGTATAGGTTTTGAAGCCGTTAATTTTAAGAACTTTTTAAGTATGTATTGTATTGTACAAACAATTACGAATAATTTGATACCTTAGCAAGAAGTGTGCTTTCATAATAAACTAACTTTTAAAGATAAAATATTCTGCGATCTTGAGCGTAATTTTTATTTCAAAAACACCTTAATTGAAGGCACATTTGGAAAATACGTCGAAACGATCTAAATCTTTCTATAACTGTTAGTCCTTATAAAATCACATATACCTGTAAAATGCTTCAAAAAATGTGTCTCTAGAAGTGTTTGAAAACCCTGATTTACTACTTTTAATGATGCTCCTTCTTTTAGTCGGAATTAGAGCTCTCGATTTTGTTCGCACATTTTCAAACAGCCCGGGTATATGAGCAGCGAGTACTCGCACACTTGTTCAATGCTCATTACTCGAAAATTTCCTAGCATGAGCTCGAGCAATTCGAGTTTTTTCGAGTAATTTGAGCAATGTTTTTTTTATTATATTGACATTTTTGGTAACAACTTTTTAAATTTTTCAAATTATTGATATATAATGCAAAGATTGTTTCATTGGTATTTAATAATATAATTTATTTAACATGAATTAGAAAGCAACTGCTGACAAATACAATTTACAAATTTTCTTTTGTTTACGAAATTGTTCAAAAACTCGAAAATTTTTAACAAGCATTTGAGCAATGAACGAGTTTCGAGCGAGTATCGAGCTACTCGCATTGCTCGATACCCGGGTATCTAGTCGGAATATTTCGAGAGTGGTATCAAAGCAACTTTTTTCGACAAATGTTCTGATAGTTGCTCTTACTTAATTGGAGCCTTCTAAATTCAATGGCATCCTCAGTTTTATCCTATTGGCTCAACTTTTCGAGATAGCGGTACTTGAAACTTTGCTTAAATTTGAACTATTTTATAAAAAAGTCCCTGAGTTTTAAAGATATTTTACTAAACTTTTACACATAACCGTTTCTTAATATTACCTTAACTATTCCATAAAATCATCGAAATCGGTTCACTAAAACATCTAGCTCCCATACAACTGATTGATCAGAGACGTTGTTTTGCGTTATAACTCCTCCAATTAAACAGGTTAAAATTTAGTATAGGTTTAATTTAACATATAGCACGCATACAATTTATTATTCAGATATGAAGTTAGAGTTATAGCGCAAAAACACATATCTGAGTAATCAGTTGTATTGGAGCTATATGTTAATGTGAACCTATTTCGATAATTTTAAGAACTAATTAAGGTAATATTAAAAAACTGTTATGTGCAAAATTTTAGTAAAATAACTTCAAAACTGAGGGAGTTATTTATAAAATAGTTAAAATTTAATCCAATATTCAAGTACCGTTATCTCGAAACCCGGAGGCAATCTGGTAAAAAGGGGCATGCCATAGAATTTAGAACGTCCCAATTAAGTGAGTTCAACTTTCAAAATCTTTGCTCAAAGTATAAAACTTGAACAGCGTTATTTAAACCCAGCTTATTCTTTTGTTTTCTATTTCATGTCTCGTCTAACTTTTGAAGCACTTGATGAAAATGAATTACACTTATATTAATCGATTTACTAAGAGATTACGAATAAAATGATATATAAAACATAGGTGTGGTCACAAATTTAAAAATTGAAATTTTTATTTTGAAAGTGTACCTATTTTTTAGATTTGCCCATATATGTAAGTATATTTATTTGACTCTTTAATAACTTTACATTTCCTTCAATGAATTCTAAATGTGTGCGAGTGGTAGCATGCATTAGACCGTTTTAAAGTTAATTTGCAAAATTCTCTTTGCTTTAATATTTTTTGGTCACAAAAACTCGTTCACACGATTTCTCTCTTGGAACCTTCGAAGTTCTTTAGATTTATTTTAACCACTTATGCAAATAATCGTGTATGTATGTACGTACATACATACATACATACATATACTAGGCTTTAGTATGTAAAATATGTAATTTATCTTCTCTGATTACGGATTAATTAGGTATTCTCTATGTTCCTGCTACGTTTCTACTAGATACATACGGGTAGGTTCTGCGAATCACTTCATTCGGAAGTCATTTTTATTTGCTATTTCATGCTTCATTATGAACTTTTTATATGTGGGTTTTTATTTTATTTAATTTCATTTTCACGGTATACTTCAGTTGCATCCTTATACAATTTATGTAGGAATGTATGTATGTATCCATATGTATATATGTAAATCGTTTATACATATGTACATACTGCTATGTATACGATTGTATGTATTTATGTATATATGTAGGTATATCTTTGTTAATATTTTTGTATATAATATATATATACATGTATGTATAATTACTCTGTTCGGCATCTTGCAGCCAAATATGTAAGTATGCAAGCATGAGTTTAAATATTGTATGTATGCATTTATAGGCATGCTTACACATATCCTGCTGCTCAACTGCTTATTGTTCCAAATAACGTGGCTATTGTTTTCGGTTATGTTAATTATTTTAATGTTATACATACATATATCTGTGGCTTTAGTAGGTATGTGTGTGTATATTTATTGCGGTTACTCAATTTAATATTAGTTCTGATTATTGCATTCCATTTACTTGTAGGAAACATGACGCTTTTTGTTCTGTAAAATTTTTGGATTTATGTTAATATGTATACATATGTACATATGTACGTAAGCATATTTTAGTCTGTGATTTTTAATGGTATTACAATTTAGTTTTCAATTGTTTAAATCTTCATGTATGCATGTATGTCGTGACCTTTTTATTACTCAGTTAAGCTAGGCTGGGCCATTTGGATGCAGTGATTCGTAGACTTCATGAAAATCGGATACGGTTCAAAATTGGCCGTTTGTGTTAACAATTCACTAGAGCAGACATGGGCAGCGCAGGCAGAACTCCATAAGCAAGTGCAAAGTTATGCACATGCTTATGTAGTTCTGCCAGCGCTGGCCATCACTGCACTAGGGCCTACATTTTTCACTCAATTTGATAATTTATTTCTTAATGAAAGCTAATAAAAGGTGCAAAAGACCAGTCGAGCCCGATTTGTGAATTTTTTCTTTGTTTGTATAAACTTTTAGTGCAAAGTGCAGAAATTTTGAAAATAATCGATTCTCCTATTCCAGTTAATAAATGTTACATACTAAAAACTAGTTGAAAACAATTGTACGGTTCCCCCAAAACGAAACAAAATTTTACAAGAAAAATTAGAAATGTTATCATAGTGTAATAAGCAAAGTGAAATCACTATATGACATATTTATTTTTTATACGCATATATGACAATGGTTTTGTCATTGCGTTAAACCATTTGAAACTAGCAACATCATAAATTAATTTCAAAATAAAAAAATTTTGATTTCAAATCAAAAAATAATTGTTTTAGAAATTAAAGAACAAAAAAAAAATCGTTTAAAATGACAGATGCTTGCTGTTTATGCAGAAGCATCCACAACAATGAGGTAGGTATGTTTCGTGTGCCAAAAGATGTTACGCAGAGGGAGTAGATGAATGCGTGTGGTGTTAAACCAAATGGATCATCGAAAGTTTGCGCTCTGCAATTCAAATCGAATGAACTCGTGCAAGTATTAATGCCAAGAGAAGTCGCCTCGATCCAGATGCAGTACCATTAAAGATGTTACCTGCTATTTCATCAGATGAGAGGTAATGATCAAAGTGTGGGTATGTTCTCAAAGGAATATCGTTAAAATAACGTCCAATAACAAATACAACCGCAGTGCGCCAAACAGATGTGAAGTATCGCATACAATTTATACTTTCGCCAATTTAGTAATAATAGTTGCGTTCGCGTAGCTGTTAATTGTTCATGTTTAACCAAAACTTTCAGGTTTTTGCGTTCGCGTACGCAAAAAACTTCCAAAGTAGGGGAAATTGAGAGAGCAAAGTGACATTTCATTTTGAGCACAGGAAAACAGCTGGTTTGCATTTACGCAAATCACAAAATTGAATTTGATGGTTTGGAAGTTAAAAATTACAAAATGCGACTAACTAAACTTAGTTGCGTTCGATAACAAAATTAGCCAACACCAANACTTCCAAAGTAGGGGAAATTGAGAGAGCAAAGTGACATTTCATTTTGAGCACAGGAAAACAGCTGGTTTGCATTTACGCAAATCACAAAATTGAATTTGATGGTTTGGAAGTTAAAAATTACAAA